AATTCCTTTATTATTATTATTATTATTATTATTATTATTATTATTATTATTAGTTATAAGTGCCAAATGAGGTTTGACCAGTAAGATTATAAAGCAGGGACCCCCTTGAAAATGGCTTAAGACCAATATTTTTTGTTTTCCTTCATCATAAATGTTTTTATTACAGAAAAATGCAGTCCAGGTTTTACTGATGTAAGTATTCAGATGTCCAAAGTGTTCAAAAATACAAATAAAATAAAAGTTTCTAATCAGATTTCAATTACAATAATTACAGTTGATACCAAAAAAAACAACTGTGAAATAGCCCTTTACACAAATGTGGCGGCGGAAGCTATTAATCAGACGCCAACTTCAGTGATGCAATTTATTTTTACCTGGAAAAAAATCTAATCGACTTAATTTTCACAAATATAGCTTATAATAATGTAACTAATATATTGACTTGTACAAGCAATACTTTAAGAATACCTAGGATAATTCGTCGAAAATCTCCATGGATGTCGGAACAGTTGACGGTCCGCTTTCCACACGGACGCTGTTCAAGGACGCACATATCCTGACAGCTGATTTAAGGAAAGAAGACGTGTACTTCTCTCTGCTCTGTTTTGGTTTTAAGCGTGTTTTCATTCCCTCTGCTCTGGCTCATAAACCCACACTGTAGCGCCGTTCTTGAGCAGGATCAATGGCGACGGTGGAGGAGCTGAAGCTGCGGGTGAGGGAGCTGGAAAATGAACTGATAAAGTGTAAGCAGAGGCAGTGTGCAGCGGAGGATGCTCACAATAGACCCAAAATTGACAAGATGAGCGCCGAGGTAGTGGATTCCAACCCGTACAGGTGACTTTTCCATTTAAGTTTGACATTTTTTTTTTCATAGTTTTATTTATATTTGCGAAAGAGTAAAATGTAACGAGAGGCGACGCCTTGTGACTCACCACCTCCTTGAATGGATTCCCATAGACCACAAACTAATTTTCTGTTTTTTTCTGTTTCAGCCGCCTTATGGCTCTAAAAAGAATGGGCATCGTGGATGATTATGAGGTAGGATAATTCATAGAAAATGTTCTCTATGTTTGGCTGATCCTATTCCCGTTCGTATATGTTTTTTCTAAAGATAAACATGAAGAAAACAAAGGGACAGAACTGATGTTCACATGTCCACACATGCTTAATGTTACATATCTGTAGGATTATCATTAATGCTGTATTATCGTGCATGCTTGCATATTGTGACTGG